GGGGTGCAAGCAGCTCCCACGCGTCCCGAAGCATCTCAACCGCTCGGATTTCCTGGAAAGCGTGCGGGAGGATCTTCTCCCCCCAACTCTTTCCTACCTTTTGCTGCGAGGCAATGATTCATATTTGCCCCCAGCCCCGGTGCAAACAAGTTTGTTTTTGTAGGAAACGGCGTGGGGAAAAGGTGCCAGCTCACCGCTGCTGCCAGCTGCCGGTGACGGGAAGGTGGGAAGGGACCCCACCGTGTCCCCCCCACATTTCCTACCCACTTCTTTCCATCGGGGTGAAGCTTCACCTCAGAGGGGAAAAGCGAAGCGAGGCAGCGACTCCCCAAGAGGCCCAAATAAGCCCGGTACCCGCCTCTCCCGCGGCACATATGGGTCCAGTAAAAACCACAGAGCAGATGCTCTCCCCACTCCCCACCACCATCACTTACTTTTCCCCCCTTCCACGGCCCCAAAACACGGCAGTTTCTGAGCCGTCCCTGGGGACCGCATCTCCCCAGCATCGAAGCAGCCATGTGGTCACGGCCATCAGCCTGCAGAAACCCTACGGTCCGGCCGACCCGCTGCCTCATCCATTTATTTTTTTTCTGATCTATTTACTGTAAAGCCCGGCACAGAGGCGGATGCTGTATTTTGTCAGCAACACGTACTTTTGACACGCAGCGGTTCGGTTCCTCAGTAACGACCAAATGGAGAAGTCCTTTTTACATCATGTTAGAAAACCCCTCTGCCCCGGTACGGAGCATCTCTCCTTTGCGGGGAAGATGACTCGGCTGGAGCAAGGCTGGAGGAGAAGGGATGTAAAGAGGTCTGAAACCATCCGTGCTGAAAACCAGATGGAAACCATCCCGGAGGAAGGCGAGCGATCCGCACCGGCTCGCTGCTGGGTCCGGAGCAACCCTGACATCAGGTATTGGGCTGGTGGGACTTTCAGCGTGTTGGCTAGGCAGAAAACCCCAGGGGGGTTTTAAAGGCAGGTATTCTAGTAACGAGAGAGAGAGAAACCCCAGCTCTGCCAAGGTCCCCTGGTTTCCTGGCCCAGCCTTTCGTTTTATAGCCGGTAATTACGCAGTGGCAGAGGGCTCGTGGGGCTGCGGGGACACAGAGCATCCCCAGGGAAGGGGAAGGGACGTCAGGCTGGCACCGAGAAGGGGGTCGGGGTCAGGGTCAGCGGCAGCTCCCTTTGCCCTGCCCTGATTCACTCAAGAGCTTTTATGTGGGCTCAGTGCCACCGAAACCCGTTTTGCAGCATCCTCCCGTAACCGCTGAGGGGCTGGGAGGAGAGCGCCCGGGAGGTCTGGGGGGGTGGCCAAGTGGCCCTCGCTCCCCAACCAGCTGATCTGGGAGGGGATTTCGACTCGACCAGGACACCGTCGTTCCTGGGACACCATCCACAGCTGGCCAGGGCTCTCTGGGCACCCAGAAAACGGGCATTGCCCCCCTGCCAGTCCTTTTCCACTCACCTTATACGCATCTTATTGCTTGGGTACCATCTCCCAGCCCACCGGCGCCTTTTGATCCCGGACACTCAACATCAGAGACAGCGAGACGATCCACCAAGGACCTTCATCTCAAGTCCCCCAATTCACATCTGGTACTAAATTATTCGCTCGGTGCTCTTAATACCCCATTAAAACACACGGTAGAGTGCTTCACTATCGCAGCTACGCTTTGCCCATCACCGTCTTTGTTCATTCATCATCTTTTATTCTCTCCTCCTTCGGCCTGACTAGTAGGAGCATATTAGGGATGCCCCACGCATCCAGCTCGGAGCTGCGAGCCATTTATCTTCTGTATGAATATTTATATTCGATCCGCCCGTCCACCCGCCACACAGCTCGCCATTTCTAAAGGTCTTAATAGGCGACCGAAATCCCCGAATGATCCGAACCGAGTATTTCACGGAGACGAAAAAAAACCCGTACGTACCCCAAACACGGCCAAGAGAGATGAGGAGCCAGAGACAGACGCCGCAGCCCATGCCTCGGTTCATGGAGCCTCTGCTGCACCCGAGTTGCTACCCGCTGCCGGGCTCATTATAAGAACATGTGTACTCAAATCGGAGACGATGCCCCGGGCCATGTGTTTCCTGTTTTTGGCTGAATGATTCGGTTTTTTTGGTTGTTTTTTTTTTTTTTCTTGAGCGGAAAGTATTCAAAGCATCAAGCCTTGCTGCTGAACGCTCCAGCGGAGGCAGCCCGAGAGACTCGTAGAAGGAAGCGGAGCATCGATTTATAGTTCGTATCAGAACTGCATCACCTCGCCACGGGTCCTTAACCCGAATTCAAAAAAGAAGAGGAAACGACGAGCAAGAAAAAGAGAAAAAAAAAACAAACCTCATTTGATGTACGGTAACGGCTTTCCCG